TGCAGGACCCCACGAACACAGTGCCTTACACAGTGCAAACTTTTCTTTTGTTGTCTTTTTGAGACAGAGTCTTGTTACGCAGTTCAGGCTGGCTTTAAGCTCACTTTGTAGCCCAGGCTGGTCTCCAACTTGCAAGGATCCTCCTGCCTCGGCCTTCTGAGTGCTGGGATTGCAGGTATGCACCACCATGTCTGATGAAACAGTGCAAATCATGGACTTACAGCTGAGATCCCTTGGGACCAAGGTCTCAGTGACTGCCCAGAGGTGTGGGGGGACACCACCTCCCCTTGCCTCCCTAGCCTAGAGGGCCTTTGCTTACCTGGCTCCTCCGAGCTGAGCCAAGTCCTCTTTGTGCTGCTGCCCACCTAGCTTTCCTCTCTCCCGCTCTCCCTATTTTATGGGCACTGGGTTCGCAGTGTTAATTCTCCATTTCCACGGAAGCTTGGCTGCTCCCAGGTCCTGGCGACTGGCTTGTGGACATCTGAAGGAGCCATGATCTTTGGACCACAGTGGGGCCCAAACCCACCGCAGCGTTGTATAAAGCAGGCTTGCCCGCACGGGGGTTTATTGCCCTCAATCCTGCCAGAGCTTGAATTGCAAGCAGGGATCCAAGAGTATGCAGCCAGATGTGTAATTAGACGAAATCAAACAAGGGCAAACTGGGTATGGTGGTGCCCATCTGTAATTCTAGCTGCTTGGAAGGCTGAGGCGGGAGGATTGCACGCCTGAGGCCAGCCTGGGCAACTTAGAGACCTTGTCTCGAAGTCAGATAGATAGATAGATAGATAGATAGATAGATAGATGATAGATGGATAGATAATGAATAGATGGGTAGATGATGGGTGAATGGACAGACAGACAGGTAGATAGATCTGTCATCAGCTCTGGCAGCTCTGTGACTCTGCCCTACTTGCTGCTTGCTGTTGCCTAATGTGATCAGTGTAGAGTCTGGTATGCAGGTGGCACTCAATAAATGCATGCAGGATGGGAGGGAGGGGTCACTCTTGAATGCTAATGCCTGTGCAAGGTCATGCGCTGGGGCTGGGTGGCACATATCAACTCCAGCTCAGCACAGGTTTGAGGCCAGATGCTGCTTCCTGGGTGTTGAGGGAGTGGGTGGCAGAGCGTGCGTCAGCAAATTCCAAGGTAGGAAGTTGGGGAAAAGCCAGGCTACGTTAATCACCGGGCAATGGGGAGCCATAGGTAGCTCTGGAGCGCCACCAGCAGTCATGGCCTGCCCTGGGGGAAGTGTCCCCTGACCTGGGCCTGGTCAGGTGGGCCCCAGCTGAACTTGCAGCTGCCTGGTGGCACCGCTGTCCTCACACAGCCCAACCATGCTGCTTCTAGGAGCAGCTGCTGTGGGCCGGCATTGCCAGAGGGAGGCCGATAAGGCACTTATTGAATTTATGACTTTAATTCATGACAATTCTAATCCCATTACGGGTTCCCTTTTGTCTGCAGCCTGTGCCACAGCGGAGTGTAATTACGGTCAAGCGGGGGTTCCCCTGCCCAGGGGACCTTTCCTGCCATCCAGGGGCCCCGCTTAAGGGTTGCTGGAGGTCCTGGGGGTCGGTAGCAGAGGGGCAGGAGCGGGCTGCTGCAGGAGGGGCGAGTGCTGCAGGACTCCCCGTGGCTGCAGCTGCCTCTGCTGTGCTGCGTGGTCAGGTTTAGGGAGTGACAATTAGGCTGTAGCGTGAGGCTGTGCTGAGTAGCAGGGCACAACCTGCACAGCTGCTTGGTGGCCTGGGGGTCTTGAGATCACACGGTCCCGGGACAGTGGGAGGGAGGGGGCTGGGGGACCCGCTGGAGCACTGAGAAGGTTACACTTGAGGGAGAATGGAGACTCCTCCCCCTGCCCCCTGGATTCCTGCCAGGTGGGGGAGGTCCCTGGCGCAGGCCCAAGCCCAGGGTGCAGTCACAGGGGTGGCGCCAAGTCCTATCTTTGCAGAACAGCAGACAACACGTGCAATGCTGCGGTCAGGAGTCGCTGGTCACATGCAGCCTCTCTGAGGGGCTCTTCCAGCTGGAGCGTTGGAGCCCTGGGGGCCATCAGGCCCCAGAAGGAACTTGCAGCTGGGGTGGATGTGGGATGGAAGAAGAGAACGAGGGCCTGGAGAGTGGGTATGGAGGCCCAGTGGGCAGCGCTGGGCAAGCACGGACAGGGGCTCAGGGACTAAGGGGAGCCTTGTAGCTCTGGGAGGGGAGAGAGATGAGCTGCAGTCAAGGAGACCCTGGAAGTGAAGCTGCCTCAAAACTGGAAAGAGACCTAGCGTCTCACCCCAGTTGCTTCCTGTGTAAAATGGTCCCGAGGACCACAGCAGCCCGGCTCCTCTTGCAGGGAGAAGCAGGAACAGAGATGACATCGGCAGCCCAGCTGTAGTAACAGCTAGGCAAGGGCCCAAGTCTTTGGATACCCAGCTGTGCCTCAGTTTACCCTTCTGGACAGTAGGATGGTCATTCTGGCATCTTGCTCCTAAAGCAGTCAGAGTGGTGGTGTCCTTGAAGAACGCTGCCTCGTGCCCTGAGCCTCAGAGTTCCAAGGATTTTCACCATACAGTCACCTCTGGTTCCTGCTAAGACTCCTTGAGGAGGTGGGGGCCGCACCCTTTGTTGTAAAAGGAGGTCCTGAGTGTCACAGAGTGTTTCAGAACATAAGTCTATTATTATGACCTCTGGTAAGGCCACAGGAGCAGAAGGTGGCTGGGCTGTTGGAGTCAGATCGCAAGAAAAGGGACTGGGGTATCTTGGGGGTGGCATACTGGCTGCCGTGGGTGGAGCTGAGCCAGAGGCTTGGATCAGCTCTACCCC